GAGGATATATCTAATAATTGACCTTTTTTAATACCCCCTTGATAAATATTAATAAATAATAAGCAGTTAGATTTGAACAGATATTACTTCACCAAAGGCAAGTCATAACTAAACAATAACTGGGAGATTCGAAGCATGGGAATATTTTAAGGTTCTATGTGGCGTTTCTGATGTGTCATCTTCGAATCAAAAATTAAATAAATCATAGAAATAAAATAAAGAAATGATGAAGAAATAATAATAATAATGATGATGGGTATTAACATTAACCTTTCAGGAAAAATTGTTCTGATAGTTAATAAAACGTTAAGTTATAGTAATTTGTAGAGATAGTTTTTTGCCAACAGTTGTGAAATATCTTTTTTTTTAAGTTTTTATTTTGTGTTATATTTTTCGTGTTTCTCATTTTTGGTTTTAATAAGGAAAATTCTTTCAATTTGAATTGCGTGTAATACCTTTTGGAAAAAAAAACAATCTTGTGATTTATAAAAAAAATTGAATAAAATAGAAAAAGAATATAAAAAATTAAGAACTTAAAATGAGTTGACAACGTTAAGATTTGTGAAATTTGAATGAACAAAAGAATTTGATTGCTTCACTAACTAAGTTAAAACTCTGAACTATAAATGACGTGGCTTCAAAGGAGTAAATAAAAAGACTTCAAACTTTTTATGATATAAAAAAGTTTTAGTCATGTCAGACATGGATAAATTAAAGGAAATTGGAAGTAAAAAGTTCCAAGAACAAGCCATATGGATGCTTAATGCAATGTGGCCAAAAGACCAAGGAAAAAGTGCAGAAGAATTATGGAATTATGTTGAATTATTTGCTAGTTTAGATTTAGAAAATGGTAAAGAAGGAAGTGATCTTGATGAATTAGGAATGCACAGAGTTTTTGAAAAAATTCAAAAACAACAAACAATGCAAGAAATGAGAAATCATTTAAGAAAGGTTGGTGTTACTTCATTCAAGAAAATTTCAATGATTAATTTCTTAATTTTTATTTACGGATATGATTGGGCTGAAGTTGTTAATGCTCCACAAGGTGGAAATGCAGAGGGAATTGAAAAAGCTAAAAAGATGTTAGAAGAAGTTACTATTGCATTTGAAGATGCACAAAAGAAAGCTCAAGAATCTAAAGCAGCTGCTGATGAATCTAAAGCTAAATCTGCTGAGGCTAAAAGAACTGCTGAATTGGCTGCACAAAGGGCTGCAGAAAGTGCTCAAGCCGCTGACGCTGCTAATAAAGCTGCTGAAGCTGCTAACAAGGCTGCAGAAATTGCTAAAGCAGATGAAGAGGCTGCAATTGCTAGACAAAAAGAAGCTCAAGCAGCAGAAGATGAAGTTACTAAAGCTTTAAATGAAGTTAAATCTCAAGAACAAGCTAAAGAAGACAAGAGAAAAGCACTTCAAAAAAAGATTGAAACTGCTGGGTTAGTTGCCAAGAATGCTGCTATTCAAGAATTAGCTAAACTTGATAATGAAGATGATTTACCATTAAGAAAAGCTAAAACAACACTTGAGGCTGCCCAAAGAAAAGCTGCTAAACCAGTAAAATTGGCAACAGAAGCAAGAGAAAAAGCTTCTGCTACTGCAAAAGAAGCAACAGAAGCTAAGAATAAAGCAGACAATGCCAAGGCTGAAGCAGAAGCAGCCCTTCAAGCAGCCAATGAAGCTAAAAATCAAGCTGATTTATCCAAAGAACAAGCTGAGGAAGCTGAAGCACAAGCAGTTGAAGCATCTAAAGAAGCTGAACAAGCAGTTGAAGAGGCAAATAAGAAGGTTGCAGAAGCTGAAGCTTATCTTGAAGAACAAAAGAAGAAAGCTGAAGGATCTGGACAAGGAACTATTTGGTTTATGCAAAGAGAAGTACTTGAAAAGAAGAAATTCATGCCAACTAACAAAGGAGGAATTGCTAAGAAATGAGAGACATATATTTAAATTGAGTTTTATTTCATTCAAATATGTATTTTTTACAAGTTTTATATTTCTTTTAAACAAAGTAGTGTTATCAATATTTAAAAACATGATTTTAAAAGTACTTTGCTTTCTTATTATAATAAAATACATTGAGAATAAAAGAAATGTACAAGAAAAATATGTTTTTAACAAATATATTATTAAGTCTATTGAATAATATTTTGTAATAAGTTACAGACGTTTATTTAAAATATCTTTTTCATTATATTAAAATCAAATAATTCATTTACATTCTTTGTTCAACCTCCATCGTTAGGTTTGAATAAAAAATTCTTCCTTATTTAATGTGGTATGTTATATTTTATTTATTAAACTCTTGGTCATTGTTTTTTATTTATGATAGAATATAAAAATTAAATCACTTATCATACTATCATCGAATTGATATATTTTATCAATGAATTAATGTTTGATGTGGATAAAAGAAATAAGTATTAAATGAATGAAATTTGGAAATACTAAATAAATCAAATAGTATTAAAGAAATTAGATTACGTTCATAAAATAAATAAGTATAAAG